TGTGTTTTAATTGTGAAGAATTTATACATAAGCAGTTTGACTGTCCAAAAGCACGACTAGAATGTACAGTATGCAAGATACTCGGACACTCAACGAATACTGTTTTAGAAATAAGCCGCCTGCATCAACACGCACAGCCATGATATGCAACATCAGTTCAACTTTCAAGAGCAATGGTTATTACGTAACCTGTTCAATAAATGGCTATGATAAAGATTAGGGATTTGTAGATTTAGGATGTGAAGTAGTTACCATAAAGGAAAGCGAAGCCCAAAAAGTAGGTTTAACCTGAGGGCGGATTACGAACTCTCGATTCGAACCGAAACCGCCATGTTACACCAAAATTTTGATTTCGAACGCACTCCATGCGAATGCATTTCGACGAAAGTCACTCGACTGGTTGATGTCTGTCGAAAAGCTATCGAAACGAAATCGAGTCCAATAAAGTTAAGTTATGATGGATTTTTGGGGGCCAAAATTCGTTTGATTCTTTATTTTGTTTTGACGTTTTGTAGTATTTTGAACTTTGAACAGAAAAATCGCTGAAAAAAATTGTCTTAAAATTAATGATCGCCATTGGCAGGTTTTATTATCTTTTATAGATAAACATTCTCTATTTGCTAGAGGTCAATTTGCAGGGCCCAACGGCAAAGTCATTCAAAGGAAACTCTGGAACAGCTTACAGAAAATAAAGAATCTGTGGGTAATTGTAGATGAGGTCGTACCAAGTCAATAAGGTTCTGGACCAAGACTTTGCTAAGTCTAAATAGTTCAATAAACCTTGCCTCTGGGTCTTTTTTCTTGAAACAGGGGAGCAGCGTTCCCAAGAGAACGAGTGTTCCGTCTTTGTACCTACTTATGTCGTTATCATTTGCATATCATTGAAAAAGACGGAACACTCGTTCTTCTGGGAACGCTACTCCCTGTTTCAAGAATAAGGACCCTGGATGTAAAAAGGAATCATAACTTTCTCTGATTTCTCTTCTCATATGAATTAATGCACGATTTTCTCGTCTTCTTGCATCATTTTGCCTTCGCCGCCTTATGACTCTGATTATGGTAAACATATTACTAACTTTTTCCTTTTATAAAAATTTTTAAACACTTTGAAATTGTGAAATTAATCTTTAAAGAACACAAATAACCACAACACAACAATAAAAAATTAGAATTAGTATTAAGTCAATGTCAAAAAATTGACAAAATTTGGTAAATTTGAGTGAAAGGCGTCACAAATCTCCGAACTCACACGAACACAAAACGAAACTTGTACCTAATCATCTCTGACGTTTCGAGCACAATCGATGCGTATTCACTTTCGTATCGAGTGTCCATTTCGAGTCGTGTTTTCGTAATCCCCCCGCAGGTCTGTGTCTGTTCGAAGGGATATGTTGGAGGCGTATCCAAGGCTTTGGGTACGAGCATCGTGCACCTTAAATTAGACAGACCTCGTTGAAGCGAAAGTTCCCGTTCTTATTGTTCCAGACAGATTACAAACTATGGCTGTACTGATTGGACGAGCGGTATTGGATAAGCATAACGCACTGACAGTTTTACAAAATGCTACTGCTCGAATCTTCAACTCGGATTTGATCGAGTTACCGCAGCTTGACATTTTACTATTTTTCTAGCAGAAATGGACATTGAAATAGCCCCAAATCATATTGGACTGATCAGTTGTGTATCCAAGGACACTGATTATGCTGGCAATATATTTTTGAATTTGAGATATTTATACGAGCCTATGAGAGAAAGCATACTTCAAGGTGTGTTGTATCCACGTCTAGCGCAAAAATTCCAGTGTTGAATATTTCTAACAACACGATTCGGTTTGGAAAAGGACAGGTGGTAGCACGAGGTTACTCTTGATGACGATCCACAGACGATAAAACTTTACCGTACATGCCTTATCACCTATCGTATACCGTGCTTGTTCGAGGGAAAAACGGCGAAACAAGACTATGTGTGGATTACAGAAAATTGAACTCAAAAACCGTAAGAGATTCGTATCCCTTACCATGAGTAGATTATCATTTAGAAATTTTGAAATACCTACTGCAATTATTTCACTACATTTGACATAGCTAGTGTATATCATCAGATACCCATGGCAGAGGATTCAAAACATAAAACAGCATTCATAACACCAGACGGGCAGTATGAATACCTCAGAATGCCTTTCGGGTTGGTTAATGCACCGGCAGTTTTTCAAAGAACTATCAATACGATCTTGGGATCCATGATGTTCTCCACAGCGTTGGCTTACATGGACGATACACTGGTACCTTTCACAAATTTTGTGACGCGACTTATAGCTCTGGGCGACATACTGGAAACCTTTAGAAAGGCGGGAGTTACGCTCAAGCTGACAAAGTGTCAGTTTCACGAAATCAGTGCTACAGGTATAGGGCCTGGAAAAGCAAAATCCAAGGCAGACAAAGAATTTCCGGCACCCAAAAACTTGCTCTAAGTCCGACAGCTCATTGGTGTATCTAGCTATTTTCGTAAATATTTTACCTTGCACGACCGCGGAAATATCTGACCAAAAAGGACACTATTTACAAATGGGGTAGAACTCAATCGGAAGCGTTTGAGCAACTTAAAAATATACTGATTCAGATGGCAGTTTTGGTAATTTACGATCCCAAACTAGCAACAGAAATGCACACAGATGCATCTAAATTTGGTCTAGGTGTTGTTCTCTTGCCTAAAAGAAATAATGCCTGTTTTCACCAACTATTTTACGCCTTAACGATAAGTTTTCCAACTGACATTTCTCCATGGAAAACTGTCCATTTAAGGAATACTTATCATTAAGGCTTCCCTAAAATTGTTGGTTGAAACAGGCATTAGTCAAATTACCAGCAACCATGAATATGAACAAAACTGTCCATAAATTAAACCGTCACCGTCAAATCAAACACTTACATATTAATTTTCAATGAAATCCAAAACTTTCACACAGACACAACAGCGAAAAACATCTAAGCTCGACATGAAAAAATCATAATTAACTAAGTTCGTCGTCGTTTACACGCTAAAAGTAACAAGTTGTTGCCAACAATTAACAGATATTGATGAATAGATACACATTTCCTTGAATGAAAAATATATCTGAGTTGTCAAGCACACATCTCGAAACACATTAATAATATTGCTAATCATAAACAGAATATAAAATAAAATCTAATATATTCAAAAAATATCCGGAAGCTTTCTTTTGATCCCTTTGTCTTCTGATTTCGTTACATAAGTGATTCAATATGCAAAGAGAACGGCCCCTATCGGATCTGGCCCATATATCCGGTATCCAGCAAAAATCGTTTAAAAATGTGAGAAAAACGAATCCCTGAGGCATGCCTCTATTTTGACATTAACCCAATTACAGCATCTTGCAACTTTCCCGAAGTATTTTCACATATTGGTAATTGGTTTTTCCCCCTTTTCTATCGATAGTTCCCGTGAGACGAGTCATTACAAAATGAAAAACGCGAAGAGAGAAATGCGAAATTGTTGAGCAATGAAACTGTCGATTTGTTAAAAATAACTAGAGCCTTCAAATAGAAATTTATTATTCAGTTTCATATTTAATATATTTCCAGTTATGTAGGGTAATGAACAATCAGATTTTTTCCATTATAAGTTCATGAACCACTTTCATTATATTTTGAGTAAATCTGATCTGTGTAGATTTCATCAATCTGTGAGCCTGCTTGATCTCGCTTAATTTGGAACCAGCCCTGGAAATGTTTTTGGATTTTGATACTCTACTCATTATTATTCCAGAAAGAAAATTTAAGAAATAAGTAACTGGAAGGAAAATTTAGAAAAAAAGAAAACCATTCTTTTAAGATTGGAAATACGAAAAATACTTAATACAGAATGCAGGATAATTACTTGTATGTTTTTGAGCATCCACATCCACAACTAGATCTAGTTCAAAATGGACTTAAAATTAATGATGAAATCAGAAACATGCAGAAGGAAGATTCAGTAGAATGCAAAAAAAAAACATAGTAGTTTCAAGATTGAAAATAGAGGAAATAGGACATCACATTTTTTCTAGTTCTAAGTACGAATCTCATCCAAAATGGAATGAAAATGCATCATGAAGTTAAAAATATAATGCAAATGAGAACATTTTTCCATTTGACTTACCCTGTATGTAAATACATAGTTTGAATTGAAGGAACCTCAAATTCTAATCATAAAAATCAAATATGTTTAAAACTGAAATATATTTTGAGTTTCCCTTTAATCATATTCAAAATAGTTTTATTTTATTTTTCAATGAATATTATACAGCCAAGGTTCCCTTTGTAATGTCTGATTCTAATTAAAAGATGTCGATACTCATTATTTTGACTCCAATAACGATGATTTTGCAAGATTCAACCTTGATTAAACTCCATCTAAATTAATCTTAATTATTCAGGTGGCACATTCTTTTCGTTCTATACCTACTTTTTGTTTTTAGAAATCCAATTTTTGAAATTATCAGCTTATATTAACTGATTTAGTAGTAATTAAAACAGCCCTTGAAAGGATTCTAAAGTCATTAAGTTTTATGTGGAATTGAATCAGTTTAGTCCCTCTAACAAAAAGCGATTCCGTTAATTAAGAGCCTGTCTTAATCAACACAGATTATGGAATAAAAGTCGCTTTGTATGATGAGTAATTAGAAGTCGGAGCTGGTCTTAGAGGAATTGGACGATTTTGATGTTACAAATCGTGAAAAATTGTATTTTGAGAAAACTTCCAGCGAATGAATTAGAATTTTGTTCACTTACATATTAATGATTTCTCAAAAGCCCTAAAGATTACTTTTAATTTGGATTCGGTCGATTATAATAGAACGAAAACAATTAGTATATAAACTGTTCGTTTATAATGAAGCTCTCAGCACTTTACTGTAACAACAAATTTTCTCAGTATTTGACATTTGCTACGAATAATATTTAGAATTCGAGTGCAATAACAGCTTTGTTATTAACGCTTACCTGTTAAATTATCTGCTGCCAACATGTTCTGAAACAAAAAGAAAACAACATAAACATTATAAACAATAATTATATATAAATTATTATATTTCATCAACTATCAATTAAAAATGGTAAAATACCACTTGATGCATATAATTTGAAAGATAGAATACTCAAATTAGATTGTTGTATTGATGATATTCAAGAAATATGTGAACCATTTGAAGAAGAGAATTATCAATAATTACCCAAAAAAAAACAATGATTATGAACAGAAAGCATATAAAAAAACGTCCTTAAACCTCTAAAGAACTGAGCATTTCAGCTTTACAAAAACTTGTGAATTCGACAAAATACGAGTTCACACAAAGACATATAGATATCCACATATTCATAAACAAGAAGTGAATATACAAATCCAGAAAATGTTAGAAGGTAACATTATTCGACTGTCATCTAGTGGCAAATAGCCGTAGACGTAGATTATAGAAAGATCAATAAAAAACGATAGACGATAGATACCCATTACCAAATATAACAGACATTCTCGACTCTCAACAGACATTATTTTACTACTCTAGACTTAGCTTCTGGATTCCACCAAGTTAAAATGCATCCAAACTCGATAAGTGAAGCAGCTTTCAATTTATAAAATGGACATTATGAATTTACTCGTATGCCTTTTGGATTAAAGAATGTCCTAGCGACATTTCAATGAGTAATTGGACAACGTACTAATAGATCTACAAAACAAAATATGTCTAGTGTACATGGATGATATTATTATATTTTCCACTTCTTTTCAAGAACATATTGTAAATCTTAAAGATATTTAAATTAAAATTAGCAGAACATGATTACGAAATCAAATACAAGAAAGGAACTCTTAATATAAATGCATACGCATTATCGAGACCTCCTTTACAGATGCATGCTATTTCCAGATCAGATTCCACTACTGATTCAGATTCCGATGAAAAGTTTCATAAAACTTTAAAAAATATATTAAAAGACACACCACTTAATAATGACGAGATAATTGGAAAATACTTCAAAGATACTGAAATTTTCAAACCTCAACCACAAGCAAAGAAACCTATCAATAAAGGAAAATAAATTAAAATAGATAATGAACATAAAGATATTCCATTGTTCGAATCTACTTTTCTCAAATAATTATACCTTCAAAAAGATTGAAGAAAAATACAATTGAAAAAGATACAATTGGAAAAGATTAAATTCAAAAAGATACAATTGGAAATGATATAAAACTGGCACTTCTCTCTGCCTACCGTGAGGTTAACTTGACGCAGTCGCTTAAACACCTCCTCTAGGACTTCAACATGCTTTTGGAAGGTAGGAGTTACAGTTTCGCCTAGGTAGACTAATACATGAGGTTCTAGATCCGCTCCTAGCACATTGTCGATTAACCGCTGCCAAGTGGCTGGTGCGTTATGGAGTCCAAACGGAAAGCGCCTGAACTGGTAAAGACCCCTATTTGGCATGGTGAACGCTGTGTAAGGTCTTGAGGATTCCGCAACAGGAACCTGTGAACGCAGACTTTATATCCAGGCTGGAGAGATATTTTGCGTCCCGCAACTTATCCAAGGTGTCTCCGACTTGTGGCAGGGGATAACTATCACGCTCACAGACAGCATTGATTTTACAAAAATCCACACACAGGCGAGCAGACCCGTCTTTCTTTTTCACCATCACTATGGGAGAAGCCCAAGAACCGTTGGACAGCTCAATTATCCCAAGTTTCAGCATTTACTACTAGCTTCTTATCTATAAGTTGTTGCATAACGGGTGACACTGCTTTATAGGTCTGGCCCTTGTGACTATCACATGCTCGGCTCTGTCAGTGCACCCCAACTTATCACCCATAAGTGCGAAGTTCCTATCCAACAATTCCTTCAGCCGTTCTTCCTCCTCTAGCATCAGAACGGTGCCTCCAGTCGTGTCCACAGAGGTAATTTCGGGCAGACTGGAGAAGAACCACTCATTGTACCGAAGGTCCGGGACAACACCCATAGATCGCCAGAAGTCGGCGCCAAGGATCAAAACATGTGGCAACTCCGGAATGACAATAGTCCATATCAAAAGGACACGATCTCTCAATCTCATAGGTATTTCGCATACTCTGACAACGTTGACCATTTGCCACTCTGAAAGTTGGTATCTCCTCTTTGTTCAGGGTGAGTTGCAGATCTTCCAGTAACTTCCAACCAGGACCTCCAAGGGCTCCAAGGATTGTTCGTGACGCTCCCGAATCCAGCAAGCCGAGGGTTTCTTTGCAAAAAATATCAACCCGCAGATAGGGTTGCTCGTCAGGTCGTATATTAGATTTATCGGCGCTCGCTAGATCAAGATCCCGGCCTAGGAGCGCCTTACCGCGTTTCCCGTCTTGCAGTTTGGACAACTTTTGACAGCCACGCCCTCCTTCTTGCATCGGAAGCAAAATTTTGGCTTATAGCCCGGTAGCCAGGTTTTTTACAGCGGAAACACACCACTTCACTTGGCTCAGAAGATTCATTTGGAGGGCTTACGGCCAGAGTAGAGATGTCTGGTTTTTCATCAACATATGCCAAATCAGGCTCTAATACATTCCCACGTCTAGAAGGCTAATCGTATCTCTCCACTGACTCTCTTCCAAGCGTCTGCACAGACTTCTGAGCTGACCCACAGAAGTAATTTCCACCAAAGCCAACTGACTCTGATTAAAGGGAAACAGGTTTCTAAGTAGAATTTTCAATTTCGCACCCTCTGAGATTGGGCAAATAAGCCTCTTGAAGTAGCCTGCCATTACAGCCAAATATATACCAATGCTCTCCTCTAGTCCCTGCGTGCGTTTACGGATTTCCTCAAATAATTTTTCGTTGTAATTGCAAGGCTGAAACTCCTCTCGTAACAAGTCCACAAATTCATCCCAAGACGACACTTCATTCCGGTAAGCCAAGTAAAACTGATAGGCTTTATCCGTGAATAGATCAATCCCCGACTCCAACAATTTTTTTTTAGTGACATGCCTTGCCACCCGAAGCTGCTCACACCATTCCAAAAATCACTGAGGGAAAGGCCTTTCTTGTCTCCAACAAATTGCAAATTCCATTTATTTGGATATATAGTGCCAGTGCTGGACGTACTTGCAAGTTGATTCAGGGCTGAAGAATATACCACTCGTCCCAAATTCGCATTGAAACTTTGCTCAGCCTCCTCATCGGAGCCAGAGCCAGCAGTTGTTCTAGATGTGCCCGGTTCTTTTTCCAGTAGATTCAAACTCGCCGGGACAAGCTGCTTAGACTCGAAACTCCCTGCTAGATCATCCAATTTCTTCAGCAGGGTTAACGTCATCGCTAACTAATCGCTAGCTAATATCTATATAGAACCGTTGTCACCTTTTCGATCACCTATGAGAGAACCGAGACACAAGGGTTGTCCCAAAATGCAACTTTCTCAAAAACACCTCGTATCTGAAAAACAAGACGAGCGATGACAATTCTGTTGGCGCCATCTTTCGTTCGACAAAAAAGTAGCAAAAGTTCGTGAAAACCGCATCCTTCTAACTCCAGTAGCAACCGAGTTACCCCTTATGGACAACCAAAATGGGACACGCTGTACACACATAAAACAAATACCGGGGTTTTTCAGAAATGTAGATACAATCTTCTCCTGGCTGATGGAGGGAGAAGTACAGGGTAATGTAAAAGAAGGAAAATCGGTACTGTATGCTATGGGTATATCAACCAAACCTTGAAATTTACTTAACAATTGAAGATAAGAAAAAAAGAATATATATCAATTATGAATAAAGCTTTAAATTTCTTTGTAAATAGTGCCCCACGTTGGGCGCCAAAATGTTACGCTTGAAATTCCTTGAAAACCTAGGAAAGGAGTGCCAAGGGAAGTCAGACCAAAAAAAAACAAATAAACAAAACCCTTAAGCTGCGGCCTGCGCAACAAATGCTCGCTACAGAAAATAAATCGAATTAAAAGCCTCTACGAAATGCTGAATTTATTCGCTCACAAATGTTACATGCTTCCTGCACGTAATTCACATGTAACAAGATTACATTCTACCTTGAGAGAAAGTTTAACAAGCTTAAAATTACAAACCCCAAATAAAAACATAAATGACCAAAGGGTAATTGCAATCTTGAACTATAATAACAGCATATAGACCAAAGGTACAGGTAAATTTATCACCTTTCCCTATCAACAAGCATTGAAAGGTGATTAATTTTACCTGTACCTTTGGACTACAGATTGTGAATAGATAATACATAGTGTTATAGGTTATACACCTTTCCAAATAATTAAAGGTGATTTGAATTATTTAATACTTATTGAACACCACAGATTATATCACTAATCTTGCCGTCCTTGCCGAAACTCTAAATAATGTGATACATGATAAATTAATATCAAGACAAACACAGAATTTAGAGAGAATAGGGAATTTGCACATTAAATTAAAAAGGGAATAAATAATAAAACATAATAACAAACATCCTAATAGTTGATGCAATTAGGAAAAAAAAGTACTATTTTATCTCTGGTGTCCAAAATCTTCAATTGAAAATACCAAATAATTCGAAATTCATGACGCGATCAAAAACGTTTTCTCATGGGTCGTGACGTCACAAGGCAGTAATAATCGGGTCGCGCCGCCGCCACGCCATGTGCTGCTGGTATCGCCATTGTCAAATCTATCGTAAATGGCATAGATATCAACATAACCATAATCTAAATCTACCTGCTCGAAGATCAAAGTGCACGTCACTGTCAACGGAATTTTGTTGCCAAGTGACGTCACACTAATTGCTCATTTCATATGGCGATGTTTCGAGCGTAACTTCAAATATCCATAAAAAGTTAACGGCTGATTTTTAATGCTCGATATTTGGTATGACTAAGTCTTTAGTGTAGTAGAACACATTTTTGAAATTAAAAAAAAAACAAAAATGTGCAAGTTCCCTAATATTGACAGCTCGTCGAAGTTTGCACAAGCTATCCCAATTATAAGCAAAACATCAGTTGAGATTG